ACTAGTAACTGCTCAGGAGTGCTCAGTGTCATTCAGTTATAAACAAGGAGTATGGTAGTTGTTTCTCTGGGTGACGTCTGTAAAAGAACATTTACATGGGTCCTTTATTATTAAAGCTCATGCAGTCGAATGGAGTTGGACTGGAGTTGAGACTGTAATTTAATTCATATACACAGTACCGCCACTCCCTATACGCAGAGTACGCAGTTTGCGTAGGGCAACATCCCAGTTGCTCAAAAAAATTTTTTCGTTCTATATTAATATTAATATACATATATATATATACAATTTTTTAAAAATGCATTTTACGGTGAACATAGTAGGCTAAGCACACGTGATGCGCCATTCCCGCATCCGTGCCCGCCCTTACCTTATGTTTGCAGCTGACTGCACATGATCCTAATAGAGTGGGGGACTATGACGTCACTTTGTATGCAGATTGTTAGCATCGCACTGGTTCCCTCGACAAAAAGCCTACAGGATTTTTCCATAGGGTTTGTATGTCCATTTGAGCCAGACACTTCTTGAAAGCTTTCATGCGATTATTTATTGTGTTACACCCTGTCTACACCGGACTCAACGCAACAACAGACGTGCCCGGTTTAGACAGTGGGGGAACTACTACGTCACTTTGTATGCGGATCGGCTGTTAGCATCGCACTGGTTCCCTCGACAAAAAGCCTACAGGATTTTTCCATAGGGTTTTGGATTATCGCAAAAAATAAGCTAAAGAAGCCTAAATAAAAGCGCCAGAACTTAAAAGCTAAACTTAGGCTACAAACGAACTACAGCACCACGGTCGCTCGCCTTCAGCGTCACCACCACCACGCTTCCGACAACTTTTTCAAACTTATTTTTAAAGTGTTCAGTGAAAAGGATTTACTCTGTATATGACTTTTTAATCCACGCTACATGAACATTTTCATATAAACTGGAATAAATACAAAACTAGAGCCAAACTAAAACTGAAATGAGACATTAATAGTAAATAGTATAGTGAATAAACAAAATAATCATAACTAAAAGGACATTTGAAAGCACGTATTCTGTACATTTCGAAATAAGCTGCATTAAAAGTCAATAAATCTTTGATTAATATGAATATTTTAATTTAAAACGTGTCTCTACATACTATTCAATTAAATTCTAGTGCATTTAATCTATTAAATAACAGCAGAGTGAGCGAGTTTTGGGATATAGTAAGATTAAACTTATTTTAGTGAATAAAGTACCACATTTCAGCTTTGTTAGGATGGGTACACAAAATGTTATTGCTTCTAGGAAATCCTCATATGCTTTCTAACAGCTTCATGTGGCCGTAAACATTTAATTTGAATGTGGCTTTAAGCACTATGCATCGTTCAAGTTTCACTTTCACCGTGACTAGCCGGTAAATGTGGTGTTTACATGGTCATGCATATACACTACCATTCAAAAGTTTGGGGTCAGGAAGATTTTTTTTAAAGAAATTAATACTCTTATTCAGTAAGAATACATTAAATTGATCAAAAGTGACAGTTAAGACTTCTACATTGTAAGAGATTTCGGTTTCAAATAAATGCTTATAAAAGAATTCCGAAAAGAAAGTGTCATGTCTTCCGCAAAATTTAAGCAGCACAACTGTTTTCAACATTAACAATAAATTCTTGAGCACCGAATCTGAGAGATCTGGAAAAGTGGCATTACAGGAATATATTACATTTTAAAATATATTCAAATAGAAAATAGTTATTTTAAACTGTAACAATATTTCACAATATTTTTGTGTTCACTGTACTTCTTATCAAATAAATGCAGCACTGGTCATCAATAAATAAATAAATAAAAATGCATCTAAAAGAAGTTGTCACTCATAATTTGTTCGAAATGTAGAGTTCTGCTGTTTACAGGAGTGACATCGATTAATATCGATATCGATATTTTTTACCCAGCCCTACAAAGGAATATGATTTATATTTTATACACAAAAGAAGTTATTTAGCAAAGAGTTTAGGCTGCACTTTCTCATTCAATATAGGAGGGAATATATTATATATCTATACAGATTAATATATTACACACAAAAATTAAAATTATTTTTTTAATTAATACTTATTCAGCAAGGAAGCATTCAATTGATCAAAGGTGACTGTAAATGTATAGTAATTTATATAATATCAAGCTCCTAAAGGTAATATAAAAGTAGTCTATATAATATTGCCTTCTACCATAACTCTGCTGAATAACTTAGGCCCCGTCCACACGGAGACGCGTTTAGCTGTATACGCATACATTTTGTATCGTATAGGCGTTTCGTCCACACGGATCCGGCATTTTGGGAGAGTGAAACCTATATTTTTTGAAACCGGTAGTGATGTTACGTTCGTGAAAGAATCGTTCTTTTTGAACGAATCTTTTAGGTGAACGAATCGTTCTCGTTCACGTAATCCATTGACTCATATTTCTCATTCACTGAAATCCCACCCTCCAGAGCAGTGCGGTGCTATTAGCAGCGCATGTGCAGCTCGGTGAACCGGGTAGCTCTGTGGACTGTTTCATCCTGTCAAAGAATGACTAAACCTCGAGCCAATAGCCTTCGAGTATGAGATGTGACGGAGCATGTGATTTGTTGAGTGTAGTGAACGAATACGCCCTTCATTGAACGAGTTTCTTTTGAGAGAGATCTTCTCGTTCGTGAACGAGTTGAATTAACTGATACATCTCGTTCATTAATGAAATGACTGAACTGGTACATATCTCGTTCGTGAACGAAATGAATAAGAGTGTACCTGGTCAGTCGGCCATTTAGCATGTGAGTCAATCTCAATCTGCAATCAGCAGAAAGCGGATGCAAAGCGCAGCGCGGCGCTATTGGCAGCGCATGCGCAGATCAGTGAACCGGGTAGCTCTGTGGACTGTTTCATCCTGTCAAAGAATGACTAAACCTCGAGCCAATAGCCTTCGAGTATGAGATGTGACGGAGCATGTGATTTGTTGAATGTAGTGAATGAATACGCCCTTCACTGAACGAGTTTCTTTTGAGTCTGAACGAGAGAGATCTTCTCGTTCGTGAACGAGTTGAATTAACTGATACATCTCGTTCATGAATGAAATGACTGAACTGGTACATATCTCGTTCGTGAACGAAATGAATAAGAGTGTACCTGGTCAGTCGGCCATTTAGCATGTGAGTCAATCTCGACCTGCAATCAGCAGAAAGCGGATGCAAAGCGCAGTTATAGGTACTGTGCACATAGGCTTGTTTATATATTCATATTTAGCATACAGAACATAACTCAACGTTTAAACCCCGATTTATGAATGTGTAAATGTCTGACCAAACAATTAAAATGTTAATTATGCAAGAAAACCTTGTGCTTCGGTCATCTGAACAACTTATTTAGACTTTATTTATTTAATGAGTAGATTATGCACACATTATAATAAAACCGAATCTGTTTTTTGTAACAAGTAAATACGTTCGTTGACTTAAAGAGGTCATATGATGCGATTTCAATTTTTCCTTTCTCTTTGCAGTGTTACAAGCTCTTGGTGCATAAAGAAGATCTGTAAAGTTGCAAAGACTAAAGTCTCAAATCCAAAGAGATATTCTTTATAAAAGTTAAGAGTCAGCCACGCCTACCTAAAACGGCTCGTTCTAACACGCCCCCACATGTCTACGTCACGATGTGAGAAAATTTGCATAACGCCGCCAAATGTTCACACAAAGAATGAAGGCTAACTTTTATTCTCGCTGTAGTATTGTTGCTGCCGCCGTGTTGTGAAGACGCTGTGTGCTTCGTTGTCAAAGCGAATCTACTTTGTTTGGTCTTCCAAAAGAGGACGATATCCGCTTCGTCATGCCT